CTGAATGAGACTGAATTTAATCTTCAGTTTCAGTCTTATTCTGATTTTGAAAGAATGATTATCTTTCACAGTCTATTCTGAGAAATTACTCTTATTTCACTGTTCTTATATTAAATCTGATCATTTTTCACATTATTTTTCTCAGAAATAATTCATTTTCAGATTTTTTTAATGCTTAATTCTGATAAGGACTCACACTAAGAAATGTATGAAATTAGATTAAATAAAACTAAATGTGAAATTTATAGTCTTATCAGCCAGTCTAAATATTTATACATATATAAGATGAAACTTCAGAGTAAAAGAATAGAAGTTTCAGAGTAGAAGAATAGAAACTCTGTAAGTTTTTCAGCTGAGAATCAGTGACTGAGCATTAAGACTTTTAGATAGAAGAATAGAAATCTATAAAGTGTAATAAAATAGTCTTATAATCAGACATAGCTCATCACATATCTAGATATAAAATTAAAATATATAAAGAGTAGAATTAAAACAATACTTTAATATTATATTAATTAATTAATAGAAGATTTTTATTTAAATAATATAACTATTATATATATACTTATAGATAAGAATTTATGTTTAGATAACTTCTTTATTTCTGAAAAAGAAAGTAGTTTTACAAAGTAATAATTTCAATATAATATTAAATATCTGTAATACTTAGCTATTAAGCTGTAGTTAAATATTATCTGTATAATATCTCTACTAATATAGAGAAACACTGCTTTTATCTTTAAAATATAAAAGACTCTATTACATATTATTTAATATTTAAAAGAAATATATAAGATTAATATATTCTATATAAAGAATAATACTGAAGAATCTGAGAATGAATTTCTTAATAAAATATATATATCATATAAGTATATAAATTTCAATTAAATTAATTTATTAAAAAATAATTTAAAATCTATATCTGATTTAGACTGACCGCTGAGATCATGAATTTCACATTTAATTTCATTTAATCTGGTCTTATACATTTCTTGGCATAAATCTCACTGAGACTAGACTGGCGCCGAGATCCAGAATTTCACATTTGATCTCATTTGATCTGGTCCCATACATTTCTTGGCATGAATCTCACTGAGACTGGCTATCAAAAAAAACATGTAAAGTGACTATATATCAGATCTTAAAATGGAATCATGACTTGAAAAAATTGAGAAAGTGGTCTTATTTAGTCTCATTTAGTCTCATTCTTAGCATAAAGTTACTATTTTTAGACATTTTAAGGTTTTTTTTAGACTATTTTTAATTTTTTAAAAAGTAACACTTTTTGGTAACACTCAAATGAGATTTAAAGTCATTTAAAGCAATAAAAATAATTTAAATTGAGAAGTGAAAATCATGGTCTCATTTGAAAAATGTGACAAGAGTAGACAGTAAGTCTCACTGAGACAGTATGAGACTACTATCTAATGTTAAAACTGTGTAATGGAATCAGTCGAATTGGTAATAAGACTATCAAAAAATCTGGTTCTGGTCTCAGACACGGTCACACGGTCAGTCTAACTGAGACTAGTTATTAAAAAAACATGTAAAGTGACTATATATAAGATCTTAAAATGAAATCATGACTTGAAAAAAATGAGAAAGTAGTTCTATTTAATTTCATTTAGTTTCATTCTTAGTATAAAGTTACTATTTTTAGAAATTTTAAGGTTTTTTTTAGACTATTTTTAATTTTTTAAAAAGTAACACTTTTTGATAACACTCAAATGAGATTTAAAGTCATTTAAAGCAATAAAAATAATTTAAATTGAGAAGTAAAAATCATGATTTTATTTGAAAAATGTGATAAGAGTAGACAGTAAGTCTCACTGAGACAGTATGAAACTACTATCTAATGTTAAAACTGTGTAATGAGATCAGTTGAATTGATAATAAAACTATTAAAAAATCTAGTTCTGATCTCAGATATGATAACACAGTCAGTCTAATCTGATTACATCTTTAGATTAAAAATTACACTGATTTCATAATAATTAAGTAAGTAACTCTGTATATTCTTAAACTTTAATAAGACTGAATATATAATATTAAGTGAAGCTGTATATAAAGTAATATAATTAAGAAGTATGATAATAAATCTGAGCTTTATTAAAGTGAAAGACTCTTTATTAATTAAAATAAATAATAAGAAAGTAATTAATCTTACTACAGTGCAGCAGTGCCTGTAATCACTATAAAAAGTAAGTATATTAATATCTGATTTTATTACACTTAGAGTTAGTTGAATAACAGTATATTCTTGACTGATTACATTTTAACTGAGAAAATAGTAGTAGATGAATTGACTAAACTCTTGAATATAATTTCATTTCATTAATTTCTTGATTTACTAGATTTTATAGATGAAGAGGGATGAAATATTCAAACTCAATGTGAATAGCATGATATGAATGGATTTGAGAATGACATAGCTAGATTTGCAAGAGGTGTTTGATCCTTTTTATGGCATTGAGATCTTGCATTGCAATGCGAGGGGGGCTGTAGCAGCGTCCGCCCCAGTGGCGTTGCATAGCGATCGCTCCGCCTACACGTGATCTCATATGTAATATAAATATAGCTAGCTCTTCCCACACGAATACAACAGATTAACCATCCCACAGAGAGAGGGTTATCACCCGCCGACCCAAAGTTCTCACTCCTGAAAGTTGGGCAAGCCCAAAATAGCTTTTGCGGTTTTCACATGCTACCCCTAATCAGGTTAACTCGCCCGAGACGACTAGGAAAGGTGACTCACAATATCCCTAGTTCTGGGGTTCCAGTATGCTGAAGACACGTCAGTTATTGTAGCTGCTCTCCCCTCAGCTAGCCTTCCGCAGCAACGCTTCTCTTGCTAGAAATAACCATTTCCCATCTTCATAATGGCTCGTCATCAAATGATGCCCAGTATCGAGTGTCAAACGCCGATAGTCGCCAGAAAACGCCTGGCACCCGAAGCCAAAGGTAATATCCAGATTATTTTACTGTATTCTAGGCTGACTTGTTATAGGGAAACAAGCTAAGCGAGTTAAGAGAGAACCACAGAAACAGCAACCGAAGTACTACCGCAGGAGCGTGCGGCTAAGCAATAAAAAAGCCCTTACAACTGTATGTGCACTTCTTCGGCTGTATGACTGAGTGATATGATATCGATGTGACGGAGATATTGCAGGACTCTCCCACCCGCATCCACAACCGAGAACAGAATACAAAACCGAATGATAAACGGCCCTGTGAAGATCAAGCGCGCTCCTCCCCAAAGCGACCCCGCTCGTCTACGAGCTTAGCCATTGAATATCCTTTTGTAGAAGAGCAGCGTGATATTGCCAACTGGAAGAAGGTTGACCTGATCGGATATTGGTGCAAGAACGATCGCTGGCCTATAGAATATTTTGAAGCACAACCTGGACAGATTGAAAATATGAGCCACCTTCTTGCAAAGAAAAAATCAACGGCTTCTCTTCGCCGCAAGAACTCAAATTCAAGTCTTGTTACAGGCTCCAACACTCCTACTGATCAAGAGTCAAGAGACGGAAAGAGTGCCAAGTACAGAAGCGCTACTTATGAAACCGTTCTCGCTACTAAAGGCAGCTTCATGCGCAAGTCGGATTTAGGAATAACAGATAGGAGCAAGGGGATTTGTAAGGAGTTGCTGGAAAGGGATCAACCTGTTCCCAAACACACGCTCTTTCGGGATGATACATTTGATGAATTTTGTCAAAGGCTACAAGGAAAGAATGAGTCAAGAGTTATCCAGGATATATCTCGAGTAATTGTGCCTTCGGCAGAATCTCTCGCAGTTGACGGAGCCAAGACCCTTAAACACTTGGTTGAAAGCGTCAATGAACAGTGGAGCTCCTCCATTGCTTTCTGTGGACCACGTCCTCAGCCCGATTATGCGGTCGGGTTCGGCCGTTCTGCGTTCACAGAAGACCAACTAAAGACGTTCGAGCCTTTCCTCGGCTATGACCCGGATACCTACAGCTCTTACTTCCTAGCCACCTTCTATATGTACTTTCCTTTCCTGACCAGCGAGGTCAAGGGTACCGCCGCCCTCGACATCGCTGATCGACAGAACGCACACAGCATGACCCTCTCTGTGAGGGGCGTCGTTGAGCTGTTTAAACTTGTGGGACGCGAAGAGGAGGCCAATCGCGAGATCTTGGCGTTCTCGATCTCGCACGACCACAGGACAGTGAGAATGTACGGCCACTATGCAGTCATCGAAGGGGACAAGACATCTTTCTACCGTCACCCAATCAAAACATTTGACTTTACCAGCGAGGAGGGAAAGGATAAGTGGAGTGCATACACGTTTACTAAGAATGTTTATGATATATGGATGCCAGACCACCTGAAAAGGATCCGGTCTGCCATTGATGAGATCCCTCGTGGAGTAAGTTTTGACCTTTCACAGCCAGGACTTGGACTCTCTCGATCAAACGCCCCGTCATTTTTAGATGAGGATGACAGCCAACCAAGTCAAGCTAGCTTTGTAGGCTCAGCAGAAGTTACACCCAATACTTCCTTCACCCAACAGACGCAGCAGGCATTGAAGCGACCAAGGAGGCAGAAATAGCGTGCATCAACATAGGTGGTTAAGACAAGACTTAATTATTATCATTTGGATTATTCTACATGTGTTATGTCAACTAAATCCAGAATATCTTTCCGTAAACTCATAAGCTGGTTGTTAGACTGCGGGGCAGCACATCCGATGATAGCCTATTATGACGCTGCGCACCACCAGTAATGATAAAAAGTTTTCGCCCATTCACACCAGTCCAATCGCAGCCAGGTGGGGGCCACATCCCACATCATGCCTGCGTGCCTGGGCAGATATTGGATACATGCTTCTCTTGGCTAGCGGAGTCATGTGATCGCTCCTTTTCATCGTATTCACGAAACGATGCCACGCTTTCGATCGCGGGCCAAAAAGCGGGATGCTCGTTGGAAATATCCAAGGAGGCCCTGCGCCAAGAGGGCGAATGCCAAAGTTTCATCATAGGGCTTTCGGGCTGCGGTTTATATTTTTTCCTTTGTGTTGGGGAACCTACCAAAAACAGCTCACACAGCGCCAGCATCCTTCACTAGAATTCCACAAGTTTCTTTGGCTGTGTACTGTAAACGCCGTCCTTTCTCTCTCTGCTCTGTGATCTCGTCTGTTCTGCCACCTTGTAGTCCTCTGCCCAACTATAGTACTTTGTGGGATTTTACTCTTTGTAATTTGGGTGGCCGGCCGTTGCATAATGAAGCATTTGATCAGAATATCGGAGTAACAGGCGGTTTTGATGTCGTAGTTATTGTGGAAGGTGTAAAGCTTGTGAGAAGTTATATGTGTAGCGTCCGCCCCAGTTGCGTTGCCATAGCGAACGCTCCGCCTACACGTGATCTCATATGTAATATATATATAGCTAGCTCTTCTCACACGAATACAACAGATTAACCATTCCACAGGTTATAGCCCGGATAGCACGTTTTTACAAAGAATTACATTATTTTTATTTTTTTTACTTTTGTTTAAAAACACCTGTGTAAGTATTGAATGTGTTCACTCTGAATAGAAGAATTCTTTTACTACATTTATTTTTATAATAAGCTGTGTGACTGTGTCTGATTATAAGACTATTTTATTACACTTTATAGATTTCTGCTGAAAGTTATGATTCTCAGTCACTGATTCTCAACTGAAGAACTCACAGAGTTTCTATTCTTCTACTTTAAAGCTTTATTTTGTATATGTATAAATATTTGCTCTAATTATTAATTTTCATACTTTCTCTTTTATTTTTCTTCTCTAATACTTTTTACTTTTATTATATAAGATCTATATTTTAATACTGATCTATTCAGTGTAGATTTTTTATACTTGGAAAATATTCATTATCTTCTCATTAGAAACAATTATTTATTAAGAAGATATTTAAATGTATAATAATATACAAGAAATAGAGAAATGAATAATTAGTTAAGTAGATACTAAGTCTTTAAGTAGAAGCTTACTTATCAGTTATTCTGACTCTGTAATAAAGATCTTATAAAGAGAATATCAGTGAAAGACTCAAGAGTTCTGATACTTTAAATATATAAAATATTTATATAATTACACTTCTTCTGATTCTGCAGATATTATACATCTGATGAATAATATAGCTATATCTATTAATAATTTAAGAGAACTCTTAAATATAAGTATAGATATAGTACTACAGTAGCTCTGAGTAATGGTAAAATTATAATAATAATAGATAGCTGATATACATGCAAATTAACAATATTTATAAGAGGTCTACGCTGAATAGATTGGTATAATATTGATAGGTCTTATATAACAAAGAGAAAAACATTAAAGAAGAAAAAGAAAGAGGAAGTGCAAGAATCTGCAATTGAAGTGAATATTTATACATGTATATAGTGACATATATAGTGAAGCTTCAGAGTGAAAGAATCTATACACATTTGTAGTGACTGAGAATTGATGATCAAGAATGACTGAGAATCAGAGTGTAGCATACATATTCAAGAATAAAACAGTTGAAATCTGTGAAGTGTAACAGAATAGTCTATATAATTGATCAGACACAGCCTGTCACATTAATTCCTTCTTTTCAGAAGTAGTTCTCATCAGTTAAGAGTCACTGTTTCAGATAATACAGAACTCAGAGTTCAGATTAAGTAATCATATCTGACTCATTTCACAAGATATTATCAGCTGCAGTTACAGAGTCTCTTATTGAGAATATTCTTAATTTCTCACTCAAGCTTATTATCTTCTTCTATGATATCTGGCAGCTGTTAGTCAGAAGTCAGTTGAGAAGAGAATGAGTCAGTGACAGTATGACAGAGTAAGCTTGTATGAAAGACATTATGAATTTCTGATGATATATTAAGATGATAGTTATAACTATCTAGAACTTCTATCACTTTATACTTGATATAATAGTAATTCAGTATACAAGATAAATATGTGATCTGTATATTCTTAAGATTCAATCATATCAGATCTTCTATCTTATATTATTCAGTGAAGTCTTGATAAATATTAATTTAATCTTCTTAATTCTGTTTAGTACTCATCATGAAGGCTTCTACTTAATTATAAGTATCTCAGAGTTTTATTACTATATTATTAATAATCTGAATCAGACTGCAGAGATTCAGTGTGAAATGTGTAGTTTTTAGAAGATTCAGTACTTTTATATGATATCTGTATATGAGAAAGAACAGACTTATATCTATTAAAACAGTATCTTAATCATTGATAGTAATCTCTGTGTGTAGAAGAAGATTATATCAATTATCTTATAAGTGATTACAGAACTTATGAAGATAATTCTTCATAGTCTGAATTATTCATTCTGATACATTATCAGTCTCAGAGTAATAGACAGTTAACAGATAATATATAATCTTGAGAACTTGACAGATTCTTGTTCAGAGAGTACTTATGAATTGACAGCTCTGATCTAATACTATAGATCTCAGTAATTTATACATCTGATAGAATAAGCTCTGTAGAAAAGCTTCAGTGACTTGTTCAGTATTTATTTTATTACAAGATTTCAATATTATATCTTTACTCAATCAATTCATAATAATCAGAATATTTCTATAATTCTTACTCTTAGAGAGATTAATAGTGAAGTCAATTATCACATCTTATCAGATTCTATTGAGAATATTAAGTGATTTTAGCAGACCTTTTCTATGATTCTTTCACAAGATGATGAAAGAATAATGATTACAGTTTCAGACAAAGTGTCTGATACTATTTAATATCTCAGATTAGTAGAATTCTTGAGAGATTATTCTATACAGTTATTCACAGTCTGAATAATCAGTTATATATAAATTATGCATCTCTTACATTATCTGAGTGTGTAAGAGTTCAGAGTGAGAGACTCAGTGTCATTTATAAAATTATAGAGTGTTATTATCATTAATTGAACATTCTGAGATGTCAGTTCTTATACATAGTTCTGAGGAGAATCAGAGTGCTTCTTAATATACTGCTTTAATAAGCACTTGATAAAGTTTATTAGTTTGAGCTGTTATATATCATAATTTATCTAGTATAGATTCAGAAGAAGTCAAGATATTAATATCAGTATCAGTGTCAGTTTGAAGAGAAGGTGTTCTAATCAGAGAAGTATGTATAGTGTTATGAGTTATTTCATCTTGATTAACTAATATCTTTGAATCTAGAAGCTGATGTTCTCAGTTCATTCAACAGATGTCTGTTACATTGAAAGACATATCTTGCTCTTGTTATAAGAGAGCATCTGCTATTGAGTTCTGACTGTCAGAATAGTAGTGTATTATAAAATGAAAGCTGCTTAAGAACTCAGATCATTGTATCTGTTATTCAGTGAGTTTATAAGTAATTATAAAGTATTTAAGATTCTTATAATCTATGATTATCTTAAATTCAGAGATACTTTGAAGTTCAGAGTCTCATTCTTCTAAACAGTGTATAATTATGAGAAGTTTCTTATCATAGATTTCATAATTGCATTTAATGAGACTCAGTTTCTTAGACATGAAGACACATAATTATAGAATATCTTTATTATCATATTACAATATTACTTCTTCTATTATATAGTCAGAGAAATCAGCTTCAATAACTATTTTATAATCAGAATTGAATATTATTAGCAGAGAGATATTAATGAATATCTTCTTTATCTGTATAAATGCAGCTTCAGTGTCTACTGATCATTGAAATACTGAGTCTTTCTTAGTGAGTTCTGTAAGTGATCTTGTAATATCTGAGAAGTTTTATATAAATCACTGATAGAAATTAGTGAATTCAATGAAGCTTTATATATCTTTTACAGTATATGAAGCTTCTCATTCAAGAATGACAGAGATCTTCTCAGAATTCATTCAAATTCTCTTACCAGCTTCTATGTTTACTCAACTAAGTATTTAGTACTCTTAACTTTGAAATCACACTTGTCAATATCAATTAATCATTCTGCTTCTTATAGTCATTGTAATACTCTTTATACATGCTCTTAATACTCTTTTCTAAATTCATCAGTGAAGATGAGAATGTCATCTAGATAAGTAGATATAAACTTATTAAGAAAATCTCAGAGTGCTCAGTTAATATACTTCTGAAATATACTAAGAGTATTAGCTAGTTCAAAGAGTGTGACTATTCATTCAAAGAGATTATAACATGTTCAGAATACTGTAAGTCATTTATCTTCTTCAGTAATATGAATCTTACGAAATGCAGTAATGACATCTAGCTTTGTAAATTATTAAGCTCACTTAATACATGCTAGAATTTCATTGATGAGAGATAAGAGATAACAATCTTTCTTTATCAATCTGTTCAGATCTCAGTAGTTCACACAGAATCAGAGTTCTTCATCTGACTTCTTACAAAGAGAATAGAAGCTGCAGTGAAAGAGTTGCTAATATATATAAATTTCTTATTCAACAGATCATTGAGTGTCTTTCAAAGAAGAAGAAGTTCATCTTAAGACATATTATAAAGAAGGTCTTACAGTGACTCAGAGTTCTTATTATTCTTCTTTTCTAACTTGATACTGTGATTCACTCCTGAGCCTTGTAAAGAAGGTATATTCATAATATTATCTTATTAAAAGACATCTAGATATTCATGATATTATTGAGAGAGTTTTATGTGAGAATCTGTTATTGTAGTATGAGATAACTTTTCTAAGGTCTTTTTGATATTGACCAGACTGATGAAATAGATTGATACATGATTCTACTGTTAGTGATCTTGTTAATAACTCTGTCAGCAGTTTTAATGATAACTTCTTTTTCAGAGTATTTTATAAGCATTGACAGAGATCTGTGTAAGATTCATAGTCTTGTGAATATCATCTTTGTGAATTCTATCATTGTTAGAGAATATCAAGCTTCTGTTTCAAGTATTCAATAAGATGTCTTATTCAGATAGTCAGACAAGTTCTAACATAAGATTATAATTAAGATTATTAACTTCATATGTGTAGACATCTTTATATTGATGTTCTTTCACATCTAAATTTAGTTTCATCATGAAACAGATACAAACATCTTTTGAATCATCAAATTCTGTAAGAAGTCAGACTTTTGATAAAGAGATATACTGAAGATTATAATATCTTATGACTGAGGATTTTATCATTGCACAGTAGCATAGACTGCTGTCTATCATGACTTTCATATTATATATGTTATCAATCACAGTAGATATAAGAATTGCATTTATTATTATTTTCTCTTCAAATCATTGTTATCTGATATCTTCAAGCTTTTGTTTATGAATTTGAACAGAAGCTAATCTTTTCTCTGTTTTATTAAGACATTCTTATAGTTATCTTCTGAATCCTTCTCTAATGTAATGTGATTGATGCAGACAGGCACTGATCCATTCTTTGAATAAGAAGATATGTAGATTAATTGACAGTTGAAAGCAATGTGCTCTGATCAGTTACAGTTGATATATACTTCTTATTGATATTGATCAGCAACTTCTTCAGAAGTGATCTCAGAGACTTAAAAGCCTGTTTAAATGATGAAGACTCTTGCTTATGTATAGACATT